AAAAAAAAAACCTGTCCACAGCCAAGGGTTGACAACATGGAAACGGAAATACATCACTGGAGCAATAATAACAATGACAATAATAATAATTTATATGGCACGTTATTGAGTATGCAAAGTACTTTGCATACATTATCTTGCAATCTTTACAATAAACCAGTGGATAGGTCCATATTTCTAGTTTCAAGCTTTGCTTGTCTCAAGCCACTTAATGAACTCGGTCCAGACACTACAACTACTATATACGAAGCCACATTTCATTACATTTAAATTTATGACACAGCCACATTTCCCAGTGCAATTAGTCAGGGCTGTTTTTTATTGCCCTGGCCGCAGCTTCCCGTACATTCCTCCAATCTTTCCTGCAGCTGAATCTCTTGCTCAAGTGATCTTAAGATAATCCGGATGCTGTACGTTTCTAACAATTGATTAGTGGTGCCAACCATTTTCACTGCCCTGGGTTATTGTCGGTGCCCGCTCCCCCAGTTTCACTGACGTGACAAAGATTTTTGATGGAACTATTTGCACTTCTGCAGAGTACGATTATTTTGAGCCACGGTGATTCACGATTCATTCGTAGGATTGCATTCTGCAGTCACAAACTCAGCCCGTTTTAAGTACGTTTTGGCTCGGCGTATTCGTTAAGCTCCCCCTCCAAACAAGGATAATTCAGCAGTTAGGTTAAAGTCGTTGCATGAAACACATCTCAGATTTGCTTAACAACCGTGTGACTCACTTAAAAACTTCAGTGATTCACTTAACCACTGTGGTCGTAAAGAAAGGTTGTAAAATGGGGCAAAATTCACGTAACAGCTGTGGACATTTTGGGTTTGATTGTGGTTGTAAGTCAAAACCTACTTATATATCAAATGCAGGCAGGCCACGTCTTACGAGCATTCATTTAGCCACCATTCAAACTTAGAAGAAGACTGAAAAAAGTGATATACGACCAGTTCTCACACTTACGACTGTTGTGGCGTTCCCACGGTCACGTGATCAAAACTTGGTTGGTTGGCAACCAGCATGTTATGATGACGATTGCAGCCTTCCGGGTTCATGTGATTATCATTTGCAACCTTCCCAGCTGGCTTCCGATCAGCAAAGTTAATGGGCGGAGGCGGATTCATTTAAAGACCACATGATTCATGTAACGACCATGTGATTCACTTAACAACCATGTGATTCACTTAACAACTCTGGTGATTCGCTTAATAACCCTGGCAAAAATGATCATAAAATCGGGCACGACTGCCTCTGGTTTAGCAACTGAAATTCTGTGCCAGAGCATGCACAGTCTTATTGCCCTGAGATAGCCCACGAGTAAACGCAGCAAACAGTGGTCTATATTAAATGGTGGTTTATCTTACACTATCTACAATATACATCAGGGACCATATACATACAAGTGGTAATACAGCAAATTCCAACATACAGCAGTTACAGCAGGAAAACGGACGAGAGAGAGAGACACTCCAGCAACACCTTCCCTTTTATACTCAGGCTCTTAAAGGGATACAGATCCTGCTTGCTCTTAAAGAGACACAGACCCTGCTGAGTCATTCCTATCATTGCATCATCCACCTTATATTACATCAGCTGGTTAGCTTTTCAATCATTACCTTGACATTCTGCTCCCTCAATTCTGGTCGAGGACTAACTGTATAACCTGTTGCATTGGCAAAACCACAACAACAACAAAACCCTCCACTCCTCTGAGTTGAATCCTCATACCATCTATATTCTATTTATTTCTTTGTCTTCCTTGGCCTTTCCTGCCCCTACCTTTTCCCCCACCCAAGTAAGTATTATTCTACGCTGGGATGTGGTTTTGTTTAAGCCAGCTGAAGGTGATGACACAGAAGAAGTAATTTATTCCAACAGAAGGTTATTTTTTCCCACACTTTGCACATCTGAGCTCCTTGCCAATCAGATGAGTCTGGAATAGCAATGAGCTAAACTCAGAAGTATTATTTATATCTTCCCGCAGCGAAATTTTCAACACGAAGGGATTGGAAAGGGGAAAAGAGAAAGGAAATCTGTATCAAACCAAAAAAAAGAGAGGATTCTTCAACTTCTTATGATTTCTACACTAAAGAGAAGACAAATATGGGGGGGGAACCCCAAACTTTTAGAACAGTTGGAGACGGTGCTAAGATAAGTCAATAAGAATACTGCAAAACCCAGTCTTGGTGCCGGCGCCACTCAATTTGATTTAAGATGCTCTCATTTTCAAGATTAAATAAGAAGGTGGTTTACAACAAATAACAGATCGTCATCTTTATTTTCCAGGAAGTTTTTAGGCCCAGATAGATTCCCGAAGCTGTTGTTAAAAAGAAGCAGGAAATCTTCTTGAAATAATTTGGTGGTAAGTCTGTCCCCTTTCTCAGAAGATTCTCTGAGATAATATCCTGGCCTCTTAGGCAAATGGTAGATAGGAACCCCATCCCTTGTCATTTAATGGATATTTTGTGATGTCCACCATGATCTCATGATTTGTTTCAAAGATAGAAAGTGCATCGATGGAGATTTAAAAGCTGCCTCCTTGTGGGGCGCCGCACTTAGCATTTCCAACACACTCAAAAAAAATAATAATAATTCATAAAGAATGATTTCATACATTTAAGAGAAATAGACATGGTTTTAATGTGGACGACAAGGGCTAGACTCAGAATATGCAAACCAAAGAAGGAACACCCGTGGATGAGTGATACATCACGCCCGCAAATATCCTTAGTTCAAAATCGCAATGTGAAATCTCATTTTATTCATAAATTGATCGTCTTTCCAGTGACCCACTCTTAAGACACAAGGTTGTTGGAAGCCAGCACTCACCCACCCTCTTAGAGAAGGAAATGTTTTGGGGGAGGGATATTAAAAAGGACAGAATATTATATTATATTTCCCCAAGGAAAATCAAGTAGACGTCTCTCTGCCCCAAGCAGAAACCAGATCTGTAGAAATGCAGATTTGACAATCCTATTCAGAAAGGTTGGCGAATAGAATAGAATAGAATAGAATAGAATGGAATGGAATGGAATGGAATGGAATGGAATGGAATGGAATGGAATAGAATAGAAGTAGAGTAGAGTAGAACAGAACAGAACAGGAATAGACTAGACTAGACTAGACTAGACTAGACTAGACTAGACTAGACTAGACTAGAAGTAGAGTAGAGTAGAACAGAACAGAACAGAACAGAACAGAACAGGAATAGACTATAGACTAGACTAGACTAGACTAGACTAGACTAGACTAGACTAGACTAGACTAGAATAGAATAGAATAGAATAGAATAGAATAGAATAGAATAGAATCTGGAAGGGACCTTGGAGGTCTTTTAGTCCAGCCCCCTGCTCAAGCAGGAGAACCTACCATCTAGAAGCTGGAAACTGATGAGATTAGGAAGACAAAGACCCCTAAAATCTACATACCCACCCAAACTCTAAAGACATGACCTTTAGGACATAATAGGATTAACCCACCACCATCAGAATACCAAAAGGGCACACTCAGACTCAGATCAAAGTACATGACCCAGGAAATACAAAGCCTCAAACAGGAACAACTCCAAACACAAAAGTCCAAGAAGGTATAAAAACCCACCACTCCCAGCTCCATATGGTCAGCTGCCCCAGAGCCACATTTCTATCTGGCTCTTCTCTTCAATAAGCAACAACCTTCTTTTTAAAGCAGTCTCCATTCTTATTCCCAGCTTGGACTGGACCCTTTTGAAGACATTTCTTTCAACAAGATGATTTAGCTTTATTCAAAAAAACAAAAAACCAACCCAATAATCTTGAACCCTCTTACTGCTTCTTTTTACAGATATATAGGTTGTCTTATTTCTCTCATAATTCTCAGTGAACGGAAGAACATAAGAATTGTGGAGTGTCACATCCAAAGAGATCCAGGCTATTAAAAGCAGGCTGCAAGATTCAAAATTCTGTTATAATTGACAAGAATCAATGACGAGGTCCAGTTGGGTTCTCACTCTGTGGCAAAAATTTACTCCTCCGTTCCTCCCTGGAGGATTTTTCATTTAGCATGAGAATATATTAACAGGAACAAAGTACGCACTCATACAGGGATAGAATAAATGAGCAGACAGTTAAACTCTGGCAATTAACACACGCTACTAGGCCAATTTCTCTCCATTAGAAGGTCATCTCCAATGGGTCTCGAGAGACAATCAAAACTGTCAAATTCTCCAGAGTCAAATGCCTCTTCCAATCCTACTTCTGAGACCACAATTCAAATACTCAATTCTTGTAAAAGTTTAAAAACCACATCTTTGAGCCGACAATCCGTGAACGACACACAATAGAAACCAAAACCGAAAAACAGATTTCCAAATGAGATGAAGTCACGTTGGCTATTCTACAAATCCAACGTGAAAAAAAAGTTGAGTAGAAATTTCTTGGACAATCAATCAATCAACTCCTGGAGCATCTACAAATACACTCTCGTGAGCCACAATGTATGTTTGTGCTGGAATTAGCTTGGACACAGGGTCACTTCAGCAACGGACGATTTGTGAAGTCTTTACCGGCCCACCAAACTTTAGATTCATTGTCCAAATGTGCAACCATGACTCTTAAACACAACAAATGTTTATTACTTGTCCCATAATAAATACAACACCAACCCTGTTAAGATCAGCTTCCTTTCCATACTTGGGAAAAAATATGGGAATAAAATGTATTTGTCCCATATCTCCGGTCATTTTCCATATTGGTTTAAATGCCACTATCACAATCCATAAAACCTGGAACCTGGCTAGTTACACAGACCCTTAGCAGACCTCAAATTGCTTGTTCTCCATTTGACCAATTCCCACAGAACAACTTTCTCTTCAAACTACCAGCAAAGCTTCACCAAAAATCCTGCAATCCTTGGAAGTCAGAAACTCATCCTTCCGTCGAACTGAACCGTTAACCTACGCAACTTGCGACGTGCCGCATGAACTTCGTAAAAGCCAGTCCTACCTTCTTTAGCTTGCCACTCTTGGTTCCCACAAAGGCCAACGAATGGTTCTTGTAGACGTAAGCGATGACCGAGGTCATTCTGTCCTGGGCTTCTGTGAAGATGGGCAGTCCTCGTACCATCTCGGATACTCCAAGGGGGGCGTTCATATCCAGGCCGCAGAAATTGTCATCGATGGTTAACAGCTGAGGGGGGGGGAAGGAGGGAAATGGAAACAAGATGGTGTGAGTATTTTGGGTCTTGTCAGGCTCACTTACCTGGAGAAGGTTTAGGAATCTGGATCACGTTAGGTTACGTCCAACAGGTTTAAAGGAGATAGACCTATTCCGTCGGAAGGAAGGAAGGAAGGAAGGAAGGAAGGAAGGAAGGAAGGAAGGAAGGAAGGGACGGAGGGAAGGAACAGAGGGAAGGAAGGAAGGAAGGGGGAAGGAGGGAGGGAAGGGACAGAGGGAGGGAAGGGAGGAAGGAAGGAAGGAAGGAAGGAGGGAGGGAGGGAGGGAAGGGACAGAAGGAAGGAAGGAAGGAAGGAAGGAAGGAAGGAAAGAAGGGGAGGGAAGGGAGGAAGGAAGGGAGGAAGGGAGGGAGGGAGGGAAAGAAAGAAAGAAAAAGAAAGAAAGAAAGTAAGTGGAGGAAGGGAGGGAGGGAGGGAAAGAAAGAGAGAGAGANAAGAAAGAAAATGGAGGGAGGGAGGGAAAGAAAGAAAGAAAGAAAGAGGAAGGAAAAAAGGAAGGAAGGAAGGAAGGAAGGAAGAGAAGGGAGGGAGGGAGGGAGGGAGGGAAGAAAGGGGAGGGAGGGATGGCGGGAGAAAGAAAGAAAGAAAGAAAGAAAGAAAGAAAGAAAGAAAGAAAGAAAGAAAGAAAGAAAGAAAGAAAGAAAGAAAGGGACTGAGGGAGGGAGGGAGACATGAGCGATGACAACATCTGTAACAAACACCCTCCCCCCAAAAAAAATTAAGTCAAAATCTCCTCCAAATCAAGCTGCTGGGATCTTAAGGCTACATCTACATGAAGCTCCATTGATAAGAATTAAGCTTGATGATGCTGCAGAGTTTTATCCAAACAGACCCACCCCCACCCCGTCACATAAGGAAAGGCAGGTGAGAAACTGGCACTTAGAACTGGGTCCAGCTTGACCCCCACCTGTCAGTCACGCAAAGACTTTTGTATGTTGTTATCCAACTACAAGTCCCAACTGGGGAACTTTAACCCTGAAGCTCAGAGGCTTCTATTCAGGTGTAATTTAGTCAGGAACAGCACGAAGCCCCTCAAATTGATTGGGTTTCGTGTCTGCGGCTATTTGGGTTTCTTTTCTCGTTTTACTACACAAACTCACACACACGGCAGATACCAGCCCCAGATCAAAGGATCAGCCGGTCAGGTTCCCAGAGACCGGCGGAATCTTAATGCACCGCAAACTTCAGTGCCTGCTTTTGCTACATTCACACTTTCCCACACATGGCTCCAGGCAAAAATGTCATCTGCACCCTGCATTATAAAATCTCTAATTTCCTAAAGGGGGAAAAATAAATAAATAAATAAATTGCATTTCTTACAGGCCAGAAGTTTTTAACTCTCTGGTGTTTCTCTCCCTGGCCTTTGGCATCATTTGCATGTCATAAAAAAAAAAAAACACAGCAAGGTCACTATTGATTTTTCCCATTTTTTTTTTATTTTTTCCTTGGGAGAAAATAAATTCATTAGCCCGGAGGTCTCGAATATATCAACGGTACAAAAAGTCTGCGTGATTTATATCAATCCGTCGCCGCGATTTGAAACCAGACTTTCTACCGGTGTAAATTAAAAGCCGTTGTTTTTTTTTAAGTTAACCCGTTCCTAAAAAAAAAAGCCATCCACAATAACTAAAGCTGCTAGTCCTCAACTTACGACTTATAATGGAACCCCAAGTTTCTGCTGCTAAGCGAGGCAATTGTTAAGTGAGCTTTGCCCCGTTTTACGACCTTCCTTGACTTACGACGAATTCGTACAGTGACTATTGGAAGTTACCGCGGGACTGACAAAAGTGAGTTACAACTGGCACTTGTGCTTAATGGCTGTTGCACCATCCCAACAGTTCCACGGAATAATGGAATGAGGAATAGAATAGAATAGAATAGAATAGAATAGAATAGAATAGAATAGAATAGAATAGAATAGAATAGAATAGAATATAGGATATGAGATATGAGATATGAGATATGAGAGAGAATAGAATAGAATAGAATAGAATAGAATAGAATAGAATAGAATAGAATAGAATAGAATAGAATAGAATAGAATAGAACAGAACAGAACAGAACAGAACAGAATAGAATAGAATAGATGATATGAGATATGAGATAAAATAGAATAGAATAGAATAGAATAGAATAGAATAGAATAGAATAGAATAGAATAGAATAGAATGGGATATGGGATATGAGATATGAGAAATAGAATAGAACAGAACAGAACAGAACAGAATAAGAATAGAATAGAATAGAATAGATGGAAGGGACCTTGGAGGTCATCTAGTCCAACCCCCTGCTCAGGCAGGAAACCCTATACACCATTTCAGACAAATGGCTGTCCAGTCTCTTCTTAAAAACTTCCAGTGTTGGAGCATTCACCACTTCTGGAGGCAGGTTGTTCCACTGGTTAATTGTTCTAACTGTCAGGAAGTTTCTCCTTAGTTCTAGGTTGCTTCTCTCCTTGGTTAGTTTCCATCCATTGCTTCTTGTCCTGCCTTCAGGGGCTTTGGAGAACAGCTTGACTCCTACTAAACCACTGTTAAGTGTGTGCACATGGGTCTTCAGAAGGAAATTATTTCCTTGAAATGGTGGCCAAGTTTTTAGATTCTGTAGGCTGCGACGGCATCTTCTAACTGCAGAGATGATCGCTCATGTTTTCTTGGTAAGAGAAGAGAGCCTTTGAGAAGACTAACACCATGTTGAGGATATTTGCTTAAGGAAGATCCAATGTTTGAGAGAGGAACACCCATCTTCTTGCACTAATTATACTAATTATGCTCCTCCGGGGAGCTGAGAACTCTTGGTTTTGAGTGATTGGATAATTAGAAACACAGATAGAAAAGCCTATGAGGAACAGGTAGACCAGTGTTTCTCAACCTTGACAATTTTAAGGCATGTGGACTTCAACTCCCAGAATTCCACAGCCAGCAATGCTGGCTGTGGAATTCTGGGAGTTGAAGTCCACATGCCTTAAAATTATCAAGGTTGAGAAACACTGAGGTAGACTACTGTTGATCTATCTGTTGCAAAGTTTACAGCAGGGGTCTTCAAACTTGGCCCTTTTATGACTTGTGGACTTCAACTCCCAGAATTCTTCAGCCAACTGAGGGAACTATGACCCTTTTATGACTTGTGGACTTCAACTCCCAGAATTCTTCAGCCAGCGTGAGGGAACTATGACCCTTTTATGACTTGTGGACTTCAACTCCCAGAATTCCTCAGCCAGCGTGCCTGGCTGAGGAATTCTGGGAGTTGAAGTCCACAAGTCATAAAAGAGCCAAGTTTGAAGACCCCCGGCTTACAGGCATCAAGTCCATCTAGACCAGGGGTCTCCAAACATGGCCACTTTAAGACTTGTGGACTTCAACTCCCAGAATTCCCCAGCAGGCCATGCTGGCTAGGGAATTCTGGGAGTTGACGTCCCCAAGTCTTAAAGTGATCATATTTGGAGAAACCAGCTTTACTAAGTCCAACATTTCCAGAAAGGCAGTTATTAAATCAATTTTGTTCCATGTTATAACCTTTTTTTTTTTTGCCACCGCTGTTAAGCAAATCGCTGCAGTTGTTAAATGAATCCTCCAGTCATTAAGCAAGTCAGGCTTTACCCCCATTGACTTTGCTCGATGGGAAGGTTACAAATATGATCACACGACTCCGGCACAGCGCAACCGTCATAAAGACATGCCAGTTTTCGAGTGTCCACATTTTGATCATGTGACAATCGGGATGCTGCAACCGTCGTTAAGTGTGAGGGAGAGAGAAACAGAGAGAGAGAATCAGAGACAGAGAAAGAGAGACAGATAGACAGACAGACAGACAGACAGACAGACAGAGACAGAGACAGAGAGAAAGAGAGAGAGAGAGAGAGGGGGGGGGGCTGCATTAGGCTGCATTAACAGAGGGATAGAATCAAGATCACGTGAAGTATTAATACCACTTTACAAGGCCTTGGTAAGGCCACACTTGGAATACTGCATCCAGTTTTGGTCACCACGATGTAAAAAAGATGCTGAGACTCTAGAAAGAGTGCAGAGAAGAGCAACAAAGATGATTAGGGGACTGGAGGCTAAAACACACAAGGAACGGTTGCTGGAATTGGGCATGTCTAGTTTAATGAAGGGAAGGACGAGGGGGGACATGATAGCAGTCTTCCAATATCTCAGGGGCTGCCCCAAACAAGAGGCAGTCAAGCTATTTTCCAAAGTGTCTGAAGGCAGGACAAGAAGCAACGGGTGGAAACTAACCAAGAAGAGAAGCAACCTAGAACTAAGGAGAAACTTCCTGACAGTGAGAACAATTAACCAGTGGAACAACCTGCCTCCAGAAGCGGTGAATGCGCCAACACTGGAAGTTTTTAAGAAGAGACTGGACAGCCATTTGTCCGAAATGGTATAGGGTTTCCTGCCTGAGCAGGGGGTTGGACTAGATGACCTCCAAGGTCCCTTCCA